ACAGTAAAACACAGGCCAAGCAACAATTTTTAGGATTGCAAAAGTGAAACACAAGCTTTTTGCAAAGAGTGCAGTAGGAAATAAGCCGACAAAGTAGGAAATATCGCGATTGTAGATTTGCAAAGAGTGCAGTAGGAAATAAAAGGGGAAAACAAGAAGTAATTGGGAAATACGGCGTCGTTATGGTTACGACATCTGACATCAACAGTGGATTTCAAACTGCCTCTTTTATTTTGTTAAGGAAATAGATAAATTATTTGTTATACTTTTCATTTGTGGATCGTACAGCCTCATTGTTATAATTACAAATATGTCATTATAAATAATTGCACACACATACCCTTTACTAAAATAACAAATCACACCTTAAATATTATATTTTATAACATATATATATTACATGCTATTTCTAATTATTGATTTTTCATTGATTTTTTTTCTCTTTAAAGGGTTATTATTATTATTATTATTATTATTATTATTATTATTATTATGATAGGTTGGATCTATAAAGTTTGTATCATTTACACCTCAATTTTAGAGAGACTCTCTAATTATAAGGAGATTTTATGTATAATAGAGAATATGTTTTTTAGGGAAAATTGTAGTCGCAGTCCCAAACCTTTTCGTTTTTTGTAGATTTTACCTCAACATTCACTTTATGTCACCACAGGTCCCCAAACCTTTGAGGAATTCGCATATGCAGTCCAAAATGACGGAAAACGTTAGTTCCACTATCAATTGACCTCAAAAATGGAAAAAATGCAAATTTTGACCAATTTAAACAATGACATTTTCGTCCATTCCAATTTTCCCCTTTATTTAAAACAACAAAGTTATTTTGTCGATTATAATATCACTCCCTCTCCATTCTCCTTTACGGTTCGAACCCATTGGTCATTTTCTACAATGTTGAACGAAGATAGCCAACAATCCGATGAAATTCAAGAAGATTTTGCATGTCACATACAAGGCTGTTTTCCGAACCGTATATGGTAAGTTTTTAATTTTTTTCAAAATTTCTGATTGTAGACATGTTTGCCTCACAGTGGGTTATCAACTGTGATTATATTAGTGCATATTTCCATAATTTTAATCGTGTTATTGAATTGGAATAAAAAAAATTCCTATTTATTCGCGCTGATTTTGCATTCGTATCGTTCAACTAGGGTTTGTTGATGGCGGGTTTCTGATATAATTTTTTTTAGGGAGAAATTCAAGTTATTTCACCATAAAGGCGGTGTATTTTCCGAAAAGATGGGAAATATTGTGTATGAGCATGAGAAGATAGCTTATCTAGACTACGTGCACCCCAATTGGTTTAATAGATTTCTCCTGGACAATATTATGAAGATTCTAGGCTATTTTGAGAAAATGAGGTATGTGTATAAGATTGAAAATAGGAGATTGAGTGAGGTATCGTTCTAGCTAGTGAAATATGCACACTTTATAAATGTAGTTAAGTTGTTTGGTGAGAAGAGGCTTGCTGAGATGTGGTATGTGCCCCTAGTTGAAGTGTTGGAATTGCCATGGGACGACAAAGTAAGGCATGATATTTCGGTGTTGGATGAGGTGGAAAAAAAGGGAAACAAGATGTTGACAAAAAGTTTGGGTATAATGTATGCTATACAGTGGAGGTTTATGATGAGTTTCTAGAGGGTGATGACATGTATGTTGTCGATGAGGTTTACGGCAATGGTGATGCTGACAAAATAGAAATGGATGCAGGGAGTTCTGTGTCACCTCAACATGATGCACATNATATTGAGATGGAATTTGAGGAAGGCATAGCGGAGGACTTCAGTGATTCAGATTACGAGCATAGGCTGGGAGTTATGTGTCACCTCAACATGATGCACATGCTACAGATAATAATGAGTCATATGTGTCACCTCAACATGATGTACCTACTGAAGTACGACATGATGCACCTGCTAATGCATCATATGTTGATGAAGCCCCTACTGAAGTACAACGTGATGCAGTAGGTATTGATGAAGCATGTGTTGATGAAGCCCCCGCTGCTTCACCCCATGTTGATACACCACTAGCAGATGCACCCCCTTCCCTTGCAGAAGATCATGTTTCTTCAGATGGGCATAATATGAGTGATCGGCCTGAGGTACCTACTGTACCCATTACAGATGCACCACCAGATGAGGCACCTGATGTTGTTGAAAATGTGGACCATACCCACACTAGAGAAGGACATAGTGAGATTGAATTTGAGGAAGATATAGTAGAGGAGTTCGGTGATTTAGATTATGAACAGGAGGAAGATGTGTCTATCGATGATAATGATGAAGATATATATTTCAAGTTGTCTGAGGTTTTGATATTGGTGATGAAAATTTGAGGACAAAACATAAGGGTGGAGCAAGCCAGTTAGATGGCGATGGAACAGATAATGATAAGTCAGACAATCTTAGAAGTATTTCAAGTGATACCAAAGAAGTTGGTAGCTCTTCAAGAGCTAGGAATGAACCTTAGTTTAATCCCGCTGCAGACATGCAAGATCCACAATTCCGAATATGCATGAAGTTTGACAACATAAAGATATTGAGGGAAGTAGTTATACAGTACTCCGTTAAAAATACAAGGCATGTCAAATATGTCAAGAATGTCCGGATAAGACTATGAGTCAAATGTCAGCACAACTGTCAATGGCTTTTGTATAACTACAAGTAACCAAACAAAAGTTTCAGGATTAACACATTTAGAGATGAACATACATGCACAATGGTGTGGCAGAATCGAAAAGTTCATGCTAGTTACTTAGCAAAAAAATATATACAGAAGTTCAGATCTGACCCAAAAATATCCATGAACAGTTTTACAGAAACGGTGAAAGAGGATTGTATGTATGAGATCTCTAAATATCAATTTTATAGAGTTGGAAAAATATCCTCTCAATCCACCTATAAAAAAGAAACAGGCAGGCAGACCAAAGAAGCCGAGTAAAAGATCGCAAGTAGAGCCACCTACAAGCACCAAAATGGCAAGGACTTGATGAAAATGATATGTAAAAAATGTGGTAGAACATGTCATAACAAAAGAACATGTTCTGAAGCAGGTTCACAGCAAGACATAGAACAGGAAACATAGCCAACTCAATCACAGGGCAAGAGAAAGAGAAAGACCTCTATACAGCTGGATACACAGCCAACTTCATCACAAGGCAAGGGCAAGAGAAAGACTTCAGCTCCCATAGGGCCACAAGCAGAGAAGAAGAAAACTGGACAAAAAGGAATATTGCTTTTTGTATGATGATCATTTTGAAGAAACATTTTTGTATGGTGAAGTTTATATGATTACATTTTTTGGTAAAACCAAATTGAATTTGTTTTTGTATGATGAATGAAACATGATGTAAAATGTTGATGTAGAATGTGAATATTCAAATAAAAAAATGGTTCTTTTTGTCTTTAATTAGAGACTGTTTTTTGGATCATTCTGTTCTAGGTGCTTCAAAAATGAAACAATTTTGGAATTGGAACCGAAAGTGATAAAATAGACATTCTTACTCAAATAAAGAATCGAGACATAAGATTAAACTCCATAAAAGGTTTGGGACCTACTGTACAACTCATTCAAACTGTTTGGGTCTTTATGTGAATTTAAAAACAAATGTTTGGGACGTACGCTGCGACTTTGTAAAGGTTTAGGACTTTATGTATGACATATTGAAAACGTTTGAGACATGCAATGCACCACCTACAACTAGCTTTCCAACAGATGTTTCCCTCATTTTGAAGCATTTGCTCACGGGGGAAGGAGGAAATAGTACAAAATGAAAATTAGGACAACACTGTTGAATGATAATATGTCTTACTTATTTAATAAAAAATAAGTTACAAGATCATAGACAATACTTGATTACTAACTCATGAACCCACCTTCCAAAACACAAACACAACATATGAGCTCATAAACCTAACACAAATCTATGCACATACTCATTTCACAAAAAATCTACATACAATTTCTAATAACTAAGTCTTCTATGAACCATGGCTTCTTGCACGCGGGGTGTTTAGTTCAGCTTCTCTTCTAACACGTAGAAATCTAGGGATTATCTCCCTCGACCTGACGCATATGAAGGGTCATACCAATCAAAGAAGTTACATCCACCGACATCTTGACGCCATGGGCAAGTGAAAAATCTTCTTCCTTTATTCAAGTTTGTTTATAAGTCTTCATTTGCATAGGCTCACCGCATTTACATACATTGCTCTTCATATTCACACCTACGATAATGGGAGAGAGAGAAGAAAAATATATAAGACCTGGAAAATGAGGGAAATGAACAGTGATTAACACAATGAAAATGAGGAAATTGGAATAAACGAAAATGCCCCTATTTAAATTGGTCAAAATTTGCTTTTTTTTTTCATTTTTGAGGTCAACTGACGGTGGAACTAACATTTTCCGTCATTTTAGACTGCATCTGCGAATTTCTTAAAGATTTGGGACCTGTGATGACACAAAGTGAAAATTAGAATAAAGTCTTCAAAAAACAGAAAGGTTTAAGAGCGTGCTGCGATGTCACCATCAGAGGATTGGGATCGACCCATTACATTTGGAGATCGTCAACGATCTTGATGTCTTCAACACATATCCGTGAGGTCGGAGATGTTTTGAGGACACGGTGCACGTCTTTACCAGAACACGTCGAGGCCGAAGGGGACCTTACGTAAGTACGATACGTACGGATTGCCCAGACCGTGAAGGTAAATGTTTGACATAA